GACAGCGTGTGTAGGGGAATACCATGTTTTATTCAACTACAAACGAACACCCTCAACAGTTGTTGATGTGCTGGAAATAGGGCAGTTACAAGTCCAATTTAAGGCTTGCGTGTGCGCACATTATGTGTGGATGTCCAGTTCTTCCTCTAAAGCATGTTGTTCCGTTGCCTATGGTTAGGCAGTGTTCATTCAGTCATTTCAGGACTTCTTTGCGTTCTTAGAAGCTTGACTCACAATTTTTTTTTTTTTTTGATCCTACTTGGATTTGTAAGTTATAATCTCAACATTTTAATTTCAATTCAGTTCTAGTAGAAACTATGCAGAAGTGAGACCAACTAACGACTATTTACTAAAGTTCTTTCTTTTTTAAAAACAATAATAAAAAAAAAAAAAAAAAAAAAAAAAAAAAACAATAATAAAATAATTCACTCACAAAAAGAACACTATCATGTAGTAAAAGCACATATACTGTATATATTGTTTATTCTTCTTAATGCACCTTTTTCCTTCTTGTTTGCACCTTCTTTTATTACTATGCCAATATGTGACAAGTGAATTTCTCCACTGTGAGATCAATAAAGCTCATCTTATCTTATCTTATCTTATCTTATCTTTTCTGACCCAAAATACTCATATAATCCTACATAGATATCAGAACCTACAATTATCTCTGGCCCACAGCATGACAGACCTACTGCTATACTTATGAGTGGGCATGAGGGATATTTCCAAAATATTAATCTGTTGTTCAAAGCCAAACTTTTATCAGTAGTGTCCAGAACCAAAAAGGGTTTAACTGTTTGTATTTTAATGACTATGTTATTGTTAACATAGTCATTAAAATACATTAGCAATAGAAACATTAGCAAACTCACTATGATTTTGTTTGTGAAGGTCAAAAAAAGACAGCTTTTATTGTGATTTTAGTCAGTATACAGACGACGTTTCATGACTGTTTTAAAAATTGTTTAACCGCAAGAGGCCATTTAAAGAATTTATGTGTACATTGTTTTATGACTTTTTGTCCCATTTCCTACCAAAAGAAGAACAGTTTTTTAGTTTTCAGATAGATTCCTAGAGTGATTCACTTTTACATGTGCATGAGTGTTTATAAAGTTATTTGAAATTAGTGGGGTTCCACAGCCTTCAAGCTGATTGGCCTGAAGATGCTAAGTTATGTGATTTTCTCTTTTTTAACCTGCCTTATTTTCATCTTAACTGTAGTGGAACTCCTTGTTAGTCATGACCCCATTACTTTTAAACTAATAAATGATTATTCTGATTGTTCATGGGCAATTTAAGGCAAGCTGCCATATATATATATATATATATATATATATATTTAATCGATTTACGAAGATCTACTTACATCTGATTTTGTTCAAAGATACATTCTGTTGTCTTTCCAAAGGGAAATAAGATGGTGTTTGTCACTTCATTTATACCCCAAATAAGAATTCTAGGAAAACTTGGATCAAGTTCAATGGCTCAAATGTAAATAAAAACTATGATTTGTTAGATTATTTAATCAGTAATTTTGTTTAAAGCAGTAAATTGGATTTGCTTTATCTTTTAGTGAATTTATTCAGTAATTTCAATATTCAATAAATCATTTAGGCTGATTTAAAAAGAATGACAATATGTTTACGTAAAAAGTATTAAATGAAATTTCTACCTTAGATTTCCATTTCTTGAGTAAATGCACAGTGAAAAGTTTGAATGGAATCCAATCCTACAGTTTTTTCTCATTCCTCCTTTTCCCCATTATCTCTTCATTTGTCTCCCTGTGACTGTACGAGTCTGTCATTGCCATCTTTGACAGTATGATCATTATTATGATCAATGATTATGAATATTGCTCCATTGTGTCCATTAATCTCAGCCACCATTTTCAGCAGGTTAAAAATAAAAGACTGCGACTGTGTGATTACTGTCCCAGCCAAGGACCTGCTGTCGAGGAGCTGAAATGTTCTGAGTTTAGCCACTTCTTTGAGGCTCTGCGATGTGTCTAAAACCCGACTAACCGCTTATGTACTCTAATTTTTACTTGGTGGTTTCCTAATAAGTATTTATACATAGGCAAATTGGAAGGTTGACTTCCTCCAAAGGGAAGGTAATTATGCCTCCCAGATTTCTCTGGTCGTTTTTATGCATCGACATGGGTTTGAATGTGAGGGTCCATGCGGCCGCTTCACTTAAACTGAACACGGGAAATAGCTGTTATTAAGCTTATTATGACACTTTACATATTGGATAAGTAACTTGGCTGATATAGAGATTAGGTGGTTGTGTTTTATTTTATGCACGCAGCTTCAATCCATCTTTTTTACTGGGGTTTAGGGGTTGAACTGTTAAGACTTGTTTTTGTTTTAACCGTGTGAAACTTTACTCTGTCCCAAACTGTGTCTAACTGAAAAGACATTTATTATATGGCTTCTCACTGTGCTTATCAGAGATTGTGAGACGGGTACAAAGTCCAACAGGGAAACTAAGATGTCTCTTACCACAACAACAGTCAATTCTTGCTGTGCCCTGGGGTCTCCTTCCTGTGCAACATGCCTGGAAATCCCCCAAATACCTCCTCATTAAATGCAGAAACCACCTCAATTGACTTCGGCTGCATAGTAGCAATTGCTGTTTTTTATTACAGTTAAAATAATATAATAATAATAATAATAATATATAGTTTTATTTTGAGAGTGATGCTCAAAAATTAAGCCTAAAATATAGATGATTCACTCCAGAAAATCTGTCATATTTTTGAATGTTGTTTTGCAGAAGCTTGTATGTTTTCTTCTTGTTTTGCCCTTTCTAGTATAGCAGAACACAACAAAGTCACACCAAACATTTTGGGAAATTATTGGAAATTTCCAAAGAGGATGTTTCTAATTGAATAGAGATACCACTTCTTTAACAAATTTTATTTTTTTAGGCATGGAATATTATAGAAAAAGCATAATTCAGCATGCTGACCAGCAATGCACAGCAACAGGCAATCAATAAAGGTTGTAAATAACAAGGTAAGCTTTTGTTGTATGTTTTTATTTCATTTGCCCTGGCAAGCCAACTTCAGTTTGACTTTTATTGCATGTACAAAGGAAAATAATCTGCTAAACGAAGAACTTTTAAAAAAAAATTCTTTAGTTGTGTATTTTTCAGGCTGAAACAGGTGTTTTTAGTCCAATGTGTAAATATGACATGAAACAAATAAATTCAGATTAGCTGCTAGAACAAAAAATATCCTTGTCTGCATCCACTGAAGCTTTGCAAACTGTGATAACACTCTGATTACACACTGTGCTAACTCTGATAAACAAAGCCAAAAATGACTACATAAGCAGGGGAACATCCGAAAGCTGCACTTATTAAAAACGTGTGAAAACCAGCAACAGATGTACCCTCTTGCGAGTCTCCTTGTTAGAAAGCTTTAGTCTCTCCATACATTGTCATGGACGGGCTTCTTTGGCTTTTGTCTATCAGAGATAAGAAAAGAAAAAATCCATCAACCTGGCCTTAAAATCAGGGCATAATCAATTCCATCGTGTGCTATGCAGTTGTCTAATTCAAATTGCACGGAATCCTGATCCCTCAAGTCTGTATTTGTTTATTAAAGCTGAGCTCGGAAGCCTGTATGAGGAGAAGGCGAAAGCCCAGAGTGCGTACTTAATTGCTTTGTTTTACATCCACATTCACATCCGGCCTCTCCCAGGGTGATGTGTTGTTAAAAACTGCAAGGCCCCATTCCCACACTCCTGCGCTCTTGTTAACTGTAATTGCACTTGTTGGTGAGCTGACAGAAAGAAAATAGAAATGGAAACAAATTACCAGCATCACATTAACTTCCATGTGTACATCAGCTTTGGAAAATGTGCTCCTTTCTCTTTCTTTGGACATCTGGAAGCTTGCAAAGGTTTCTGTTACAACAGCCGGTAAATGTGACAGAACATCAAGTTTAGTTACAAAGATACCATATATGCAGTGCATATAAGGCTTAAAATAAGTAAGAAAGCTTCGCTCAGACAAACTTAAAAAAAAAAAAAAAAGCAGATGAATAATTCACCAAATCTGGCAGCGTGTGCACATGTACCGGGGCTCTGATGTGCAGGGAAGCTAAAGCAGGAGTTAACTCCCAGTAGAGCTGAATGTGCAAGGTGTTCCTCTCAGTGAAATGGCACCTCCTTTTTCCTCAATCGCATCCTTCCTTTTCCTTCTTATCAGACAGGTTGGTGTCTCCTGGCTTTTTGCGGCTGTCACACACGCACTTAGAAGGTCTGGTTGAGGACATCTCTGAGTTTTCAGAGGAGAGAAGATCATTACCGTTGCAGACAGCAGTCATTTCACAAATTTGTACACTATCACAGGCTGCTTTTTCTCCTTTTTTGCCGTAATAATCTCTCCGTCTCAAACTGACTTAACTCACCAAAGAGCTGCTGCCACAAATGTGTTTGACTACACAGGTGGCTTTTATGATTCTTTCACATCTGAAGTTACACGTTTTCTTCACTCGCTTGCTTAGGGTTGAAATATTAGTCACAGGATTGACAATATCGTCTTAAGAAGGGTGGCACATCAGGTGAAAATTCGAGGACGGCTGAAAGTTTAAGAGTTTCCTTCATATTTAAGTTAGTGAAACATTTTAATGTCTCAAGGAGGAGTATTCACGGTGGTGGCAGCAGCATGCTGAGGGGATGATTTTCTTTTTTTAAGTTGGTGGTTCAATTACCCTATTTATACATAGGAGCTCAGGTATTTAGATCAAAGGACAGTTACAATGACTGGCTTAAAGTCTGGCGATAAAAATCTGATGCTTTTTTACAAGTATCTATAACTCTGACCTGTTAGGGCTGATTGATTACAATTAACTCACATTTTCTTGACTTTCTTTTCTTTTGTTTTGATTTTGCAATATTTGATAAAGTGATGATTGTAATTTGATATTTTTTAGCTTAATTTAAGACTGCAAAGAACTCAAAATGATATCCTCTCGCTTTTTTCAACAGCCCAACCGCAGTCTCTGTCTGATCCAAAGCCAGCGTCTTCCGAGGAGACAGAGGGAGATGCTGCCAAGGACCAAAATGGCATCCACCACAAGAGCTCGGGCACGCCCACGGTGACCAGTGCCAACGGAATCCACTCCGGCGTCGGTACTCCTGAGGGCACTAGGACGTGCACCTGCGGCGCCAGCATTGGGACTAGCAAAACTGGCGGGTCAGGCCCCGGACACAAAACGGCAACAACCGCACCAAAGACAGAGCAGCCCAGAAGGCAGCCGTCCACTCCCGTGTCTCACAGGGTGCAGAGGAAGCTGAAGTCTAGCTTGTCAGTCAACAGTGACAGCAGCAGAAGGAGCAAAGGCAGCTCCACAGGCTCACAGAAACCTCCTTTACCAGAGGGTTAGTATTGGCACACATTGGGATAATGTTAGCAATTAAGAAAGATTAAAACCCTGTACTAATACAGACTTACTTTTCAAACTCCTAATGATATACTTCAATCTTTTCATCTCAGCTTCTGTTGATCCTAACATCATCTTAACATTATTAGCAGAGCTTCTAGCAGCAGGGTCTAATCAGTAAAGATATTTTTTCAAATAATTTAAACACTATTGAGCAAAAAGACTTTATAACCCTCTTAAACAGTTAATGCATTTCAAATGAAATGTATTTTTTTCTGTTTCTAAAAGTTATCTATTAGTTCCTTTTCTTGAAGATAGTGTGGGGAGTCTTTGACCGTATTCAGTGTGTACGGCCTGGGGTATTTTCTTGGAGGCTCATAGAGTAATACCACCATCAGCTATATATAATAAATTCTAACCTTCTCTCACCTTTTAATGATGAAGGTGCCTGATCCCTCGTATTTATCACTCCCGTCAAGCAAATGACATCTTATCTCTCTCCTATGGCTTTTGTTTGCCTTAACAGTAAGTCAGAGGGTGCATTTGGCATGCGGGGAAGCCATCTCTTTTGTCAGGTGCAAGGCTGAGGTGAGTCCAGTAATGAAGGCGGCTGCCCGTTCCTCTTCCGTCGGGGAGATAGGTGTGAGTGTCTAACGAGGCCTGAGAGCGCGGGGTGCCTATTATAAGTCGTGACCAACCATGTTTGGGCCCCTCACACCTCTCTTGGCCCTTTTTGGCTCTCCCCAGATCCCGTCAGCAACACCTTGGCCCTCATTAGCAGGGCCCCATTGCTTCACTCTTCCATCTAATGCTTTTGTTGGCCATATGTTCTTCTGCTTTTCAATACGCTATTAGGCTATAAGCATATTTATTATTGTTTACTTTAATACAAGTTTATTGCAATACATACAATCAGATATCATGGCTGTTGAAAGTAGAGTATTATTCAAAATGCTGTTGAAAATTATGTATGGATGATAAAAATAGGTTTTAATACAGAGATTTTAATATGACCCACCAAGATTGCTGACTTGACATTTATACAGCAGTCACTGACCTGCTCTACAAAAAAGGTAAGCCTCAAAAAGTCTTTCTAAAAGAAGCTGGCTGTTTAGATAGCTGTTCAAACATACTGAATAAAAGTTTTTTGGAAAAAAATCTGGCAGAAGAACCAACACAGGGAAGGATAATGGCAAACTGAGGATTTGTCTATTCATGAATTTGAAGGGGTCATAGAATGATTATATAGGGTATTTGGGGCTGGTCCTTAAGGTCTCTGAATAGGGTGTGTAACGCTGGTTGGGCTGAAAAGGGCATATTTGCTGTTCTGAGCCTCAATGAAAGCCTGGTTAAAAGCCCCTGAATGAAATGACAGGTTTTCTTCCTTTTATGGTATGCTCATGAATATTTAGATGAGGTTACCAGACGTCCTCTCTTTCCCGGACATTTCTTACTTTTCATACCTAAAAAAATGTCCATGGGGAATTTCAAAATCGTCTGGGATTTCGGTCCACTACAGTGCAGCACGTAGTTGAAATAGGGAGCCAGCGGGGGACGGAGCGACCAAACCTTGTAACGGTAGCCTGGACAACTCCGGCCCCATGCTTACCGGAAGCCCGGTAAGGCAGGCGGGGTGAAGCATACTGCCACCGGGTCAGGTTTAGTCGCTCTGTCCCCCACTGGGGCCCGGTCCTGTCATTTCAGTAAAAGAAGTTTAGCAAATCCTTCTTTGAAGTGTCCAAGATTAAGCTGAAGCTGTCTTCAGTAAAATGCTTAAACCAAACAAAAAGCTGAGTGTCAAACTTTGCAGGGATCTTCTGATGGACTAAAATAATCCATGCCTGTCATGTCTTCGGATCCTTACTGTAGAAAGACTTTTCCCCTTTCTCCATGCAGCCATGAACAATGCATTTACACCCGTGGATCTTGGTCATTTTCAATAGAGAAACTGCGTGCTTTATAATTCTTGTAGAAGTAAACCTAACTGTAGGCTAAACAGCTAAACTGGTGTCTTTCATCTACCTCTATTCATGTTCTTGGGCCATTGAACCAGTGGGCTGGTCTGTTTGCCAATTTCAGGGCGTGACAAAAGTACAGGCCAGAACCAAATAAGGCAACATCCCTGAATTGACGTCAATTCGGCGCTTCGTCTGAATTTGCACGTTTTATGGTGGAAGTTTAGAATTGTGAGAGTTGCAGATAAATGAGGTGTCAATGGGGTTTGAACTTCTCTATACTTCCATTTCACCCACTGAACTATCGTTATTCAACTATGACAATATAAACTCTGTTTTGCATTCTATGACCCCTATAAGAAAACTGTAAAAGGTCTGGCTAAAGCAAGAGCTTTTAAGAACACCAACACATGTATATACTGACAATTGTAAATCAATGTTCAAGAATCTGGATAAAGAGCAGAGAAGCCCAACATTGAAGTTGTTTGTGGTCCAGGTTGAAGTCTGCTCCGTCCGAGATGTTTTTCCGTCGTGTTTTAAAATGTCTAAATTCCATAAAACCATCAATCAGAACATTTTAGATCAACTCATACTTCTTTGTTGTAACAAAGGGAACACTGCTAAAGGTACCAAGACCTCCATAAATGGTATGGTATTGTCTTTGGAAATCTAACTTAGAAAATGAGAGACACAGATGTAAATAAGCTCGAGGTTACATTTAAAGCCACACATGCTTAGGCAATTCTTCATCGAACCACATGATGATTGTATCCATAACATGTCTCATTAATGCAGTAACTCATGCAAAACAAGCCCTGACCAACCGTTAATACACTGTAATTACATCGGCATACCTTCCTGACTTTTTTCTAACACACTTTTACCCTAACTTCAACTTTCCATTATTATGCTTGCTTACTATTCTTGATTGATGATGTCAGTCACACAAATCAGCAGTCATTTCAAGAATTATGTGCTCTAAGTCATTATTTAAGATTGTCAAAGTTATATTATGTGGTATTCCATATGTTTTGAACCATAAATATTAGGAATCAAAAAGCTCTAAGTCTTAATTATGAAAATTAACCAAGTCAAAGCTTAAAATATATTATCTTGTCTGGAAGAAAATCTGTATAGGTTTCACATTGTTGCTCCAAGCTCAATTAATTTTAAACTGTAATCAGATGAAAAGCTGCTGCGATCCAAAGATGATTTCAAACTAGCGGAGATAAATTGGCAGTCAGGCCTTTATTTGCTGCCTTTTGTATGCATCAGAATCCAGACTACGAAAACAAAAGGCTTACAATCATCCTCAATTTTTCTAAAGCATAGATGAAATGCATCCACCAGAGATGGTCTCGATGTGTCATGTTTTCCACATCTTAATTGGTGAAGAAACAGAGGAAGGCAGAGAAAATAAACATACTAACAGCTCAACAAGTCTCATTACAGCTTTCGCATGTTGCTTATTTGAAGACGCCAGAGCTCTCAGTATCAATATGCTCGTTCTCAACTGTTTATTTCCCCCCGGATAGCAGCCAAGCTGTTGTTTGAATGTTTACATGGATTAACATAATCTGTTTGCCTGTGAAATTAGCCTCCTAAACAGCCCCTCTGAACACAGGAAATAAAAGGCGCGAGCTAGCAGAAGCTAGCTCTGGGGACTCTCTTGCTCTGAATGATTCTTGGCACATGCCGTTGGCTCCGGAGCCAACTTCCCCGACGCTTCTGAGCAGCCGTTTAGCAGGCTGCTTTCGCACAGCAGGGTGGGCCTTCTCAACTCCTATTGTCTGTTATCGGCTCAGATCTCCAAGCGGCTTCGGCCCTGTTTGGAGATTCACGCCGAACTCCCCCTTTTTTTTCCTGGTATTTTCTTGGATGTTTTTCATGTTTTCTTTTTTCATTGTCTTTTCTCAGTCATACATTATAAAAGGAAGTGCTTTTAAGTTGCTTGTGGTGGATCTTCTCTGTTCGACCCATAAGGTCAGAGTGGCTTTGTCTAATACTCTCCTACTTGCCTTTTTCCTCTCTTTGTGGGTTTCACTGTTTTGCACAGCTTGCTGCTCTGACGCCCATCCAGCTTGTTTTTTGCCACGCCACTTCCCCCTTTTTTTTTTTGATGTCAGTTTTCCACACGTCTTCAACTATTTCCTCAGAGACGCCTGGACGCTGGTTTTCGGGCTTCATCTCCACCGGCTGACATTAAACAGGAGTGTTCTCAGTGTGCTCAGTCTGTCCGTCGGTTGGCTTCTCTCCGTCTCCGCCTGACTCTCTCGTATGTGTTCTCTGTGCCTCACGTCCAGCTCTCTTGTGTGCAATGTACGACCCTCCCTCGCTCCCCTCCTTCCATCTCCTCCTCCTTGCTGGCTGTAAGATCCAGACTAATCGCTGTTGCTGAATTATACATCCAAGTGAATAGCTGAGATGGCTGTCCACTGCTTAATGTCTGTGTACTGTGTTTGTATCGTACTCAAAGTCTGCTGTTACACTGCTGCCATGGCTATACCCTCTGGGTTTTTCAGAGTTTGTTAAGCTGAACTTTAAAGTTTCAAGGCATGTAGCTGGTACTTTGGAGCCCTTGCAGTTCACTACCAATAAATAGAAGAATAAACCACATTTTCTATTGGCTTAACGCTGGGCGTAGATGCCTTAGTGCCTTGCAAAAGCGTTTATACCCAATTAACTTTTTTTTTCAGATTAGTCGGGTTAAAGTCAAAAAACACCAACTGAACTCAGTGACAGATATTCTGTGAAAAAGGCAGAGTAATGTCTTTGCATATCACATTTCAGTACATGGACAATTCAAAGATGATAAAATAAAAGCAGAATAAAACCAAAATATTTGTAAAAAATAAAAGAACTGGACCACAGAAAAGCAGGTAGAGAAGAAAATACAACAATTGGATCACAACCTTAAATTAACCTCAGTAGCAGTTTTGCTTAAGCTGTCGAACTGTTGAAGTTTATAAGGCAAAATTAAATAAACATCACCTTTTACATTATGGCTGTAAATACCATGAAATATTGTGATTAAAATCTTAACTCTTTATGTTTCATCCCTAATGTAGGATTTGTGGGCCAGCTTTAAAGTGAACCTTTTTCCTAGTCTAAAGCTTCTTGCACTCTGAGGTTTTCCACCTGTGAGGGAATGAATTAAGCTCCTTTCAACATTCAAATTCATTTTCATCAACATCACCACCTTCGTTGTAGAAAAGGATCCACATAGCATGATACTTACTTTACCCTATTAAATGTGGGATGGTGTACACGGATGATATGGAGTCAGTTTTACTCCACATGTCGCAATGTGGATATTGACAAACAAATTCTCACTTTAGTCCTTCCAAGTAAACCAATAGGACTAAAGGCCGTTTTATTGGGATTAGGGCTGCAACTAATGATCATTTATGCAAATGAATTAATCTGTCGATTATTTTTGGTTCAATCAATTAATAATCGGATAGCTAAAGGTTCCTTAAAGAAGACTTTTTGCAAAATTAAACAAGGTGAACTAACATTCTTCCAGTTCTGGATAGAACATATTGACATACAAAAAAGATTTTTATCTTAAAATGCAAAATGTTTTGTAAAACTGCTGCTCTAGGTGGGTCGCTCTGTCAACTGAAGGCATATTTTAGAGTCTCTATACTCCAGTTAACGATTAATCGATTACTAAAATGGTTGACAATCATTCCAATATTTAATTAATCACGATTAATCCGATTAATTTATTCAGCCCTAATTGGGACATCAGAATAAAAACAATTTGCCTTGCATTTCTAGCTATATTTACCGATTGTCCTTCCCTAGCAATGTATGACTCCAGCTCCTCCAAAGTTACCTTGTGCCTCTTTTTGTCTGTTCTGTCCCATTTTTGTGTCAGTTTAGGCGGAGAGTCATGGCTTTGATGATTTACATGGCTGCTAAGTAGGTTGGAGTATTGCTTTGATACTTAACCTCCTTTTAAGTTTGGACATAACGTGTTTCCTGATGTCTTTGCTGTGTCTTTGTTCTTTACGGTGCTGTTTTTTCAGAAATGTAACCCTAAAAGATCTTCAGAGAACACCTAGATAGCTAGCAAGATTAAGTTGCACACATATTACAAGTTTTATAGCACAGAGTAATCATATTCCACCTTACAGCTTGAACAAAAAATATATATATATGTCTATATATATATATATATATATATATATATATATATATATATATATATATATATATATATATATATATATATATATATAAAACCCATGTTTTGCATAGTTCTGCATACTTCAAGGGGTATGAATACTTTTGCTAGGCTCTGCATGTCTTCATGCATTTTCCATCTCTGACCGTGTTGTGGCCTAAGATAAGGATAATAAGATGCATGCAAGCTTCAAGCTTCCACTCGGACACGTATCCAGCTCCTTCCCGTTTCATATTCCTCTCGCTATCTTGTTTGTATCAGCCTGTGCTTCTGGTCAGCTCTGCAGCCCTCAGCACTGCAAAACTACAGGAGGGGTGGGGGAATCCTTTCTACTTTGATTAATCAAACATGAACATTCAGCAGGCCTCAGTTCGCCTTCCCTATTCTGTCCTCCACACTCTGCACCTTTTTTTTTCTCTCTTTCCCTCTAACCCAATCAGTAACAGGCACTTCTGACAGCTGTAGATGGGCTGATGAAAGTCATGCAAATGCAGCCTGTTTGTAATGCTATTTTTCCCCGCATCCATCCACATCATGTCTCTTTAACACTCCAAAGCGGTGGCGCGGCTCTGAACTCTGATCAAAAAAAGAAACAGCTGCGAGGAGTTTGTGCCAGGTTCACTTTCAGAAGGACTCATAGTGCAACCGCAGAACTTCTTCAAACTTCTTGTGTGCTGAAAAGGGGAGGACCATGTTATTTTTGTGCATGTACATCTCATTTTTCTGTTTATCTTTATGTTTTCCAATTCAGATTTCCATCTATACACCATATTTTGCAACATTTTTATACCCCCTACACTTTTTTCACAACTTATCACCCTCTTCACTGTGATTTTGGGGGATTTTATATGTATATATAGAGTATATAAAAACCTCTCTGAGGCAACCTGCATTAGTCTGTAATTTGATTGGGTATTTTCTGTTTAGGGGAGCATTAAAAATGAAAAAAAGGATAGGAAAAATTTCCCTTTTTTTCTTCACAGCAGCTCTCCTTTACTCCATCCTATCTTTTGCTCCCTTTACATATTAGCATCCCACAGCATAATGCTGCCATCACCAACTGTTGATTTTGGTATGTTTGCAGAATTGTTAGATAATTAATTGCAACATGAATTAATCACAAGTAATTACTTTATCTTCAACATTTTTTGTTCCATCTATTAAAAAAAAATTGTTGTATAGAAATTGGGGCTGCAACTAACGATTATTTTGCAAATCGATTAATGTGTTGATTATTCTTTCGATTCATAATCAGATAGCCAAAAGTCCCTTAAAGAAGATGTTTTTAAAATTAAACCCTTTTTTTCTACTTTAGGAATTCTGGAGCATTTGGATGGATGAAAACATTTTTTTTTTATCCTAAATGCAAACTGTTTATATTTTTTTTTTCTTTCACAACCTTTGTATAATTACTGCTCTAAGTGGGTTGCTTTGTCAGCTAAAGGCATATTTTAGAGTGTCTGTACTCCATTCGATTAATCGATTATTAAATTAGTTGACGATTATTTCAAGAAATTGATTAATCACGATTAATCTGATTAATTGCCTAATCCCTAATAGAAACAAAATTGGCAAATTTGAGACTCAGGCAAGGATTTTTGATTGCAATAATGCAAGGAACTGAAATCCTGCCTCAGATGCTCTATCAATGTGCATCAGGAGGTTAAATGTTAATCAGAGGTTTAAGTGTTGCCAGAATAAATTCACCTAGATGGCAGAATGAGACTCTTGGACATTGCTATTCATTTCTGTTTGATCAACTCTACAGTTTGCATGATAATGGCACAATTAATCAACTTGTCTGTGTTTTTTGCCATTTCTCCCTTCTTTGTTAAAAATCCCACTTTAACAACATATTTGGTGTGGCTCCTTAAGCATGCTTGTCTCACCTACTCATATTCTTTTGAATACAGATTTAGTTTTAACAGAAGAAACAATTTGAATAACTTGCATCTTTTTTTTTTTTATCCACATACTTGTCACCTCACCTCACTGGCTGTGGCTCACTCAGATTGCTGCGTTCACTGCATCCTCGCCTGCCTCTTCTGTGAGTTCCTCACACTCTGCAACATGGTGGTGGCCCAGGCTTCCTGCGGCGCGTGCACTTCAGAGGCCTGCTGCTGCTGCTGCTGCGCCGACGACATGGGTGACGACTGCAACTGCCCCTGTGACATGGACTGTGGCATCATGGACGCCTGCTGCGAGTCGTCCGATTGTCTGGAAATCTGCATGGAGTGCTGTGGCATCTGCTTCCCCACATAGGCTGGGGGATTTGGTGGCGGACTTTGATTTGGTGGATTTGATCCATCTGGAAAAGTATAAACAGGTGCATCTCAATAAATAATCATCAAATGATTCTTTTATTTTGATAATTCAGTTTAGAAAGTGCAATTGTTGTTTTTCTTATTGTTTATTGAAATATATTATAGCTGGTTGAAAAGTTTTTTTCTTAGAAAAAGTTTCATGAAAAATTGAAATCTTAGACATTTAAAAAGGAATTTAAAATAGAAGTTATGTTATTGTCTGCATAACTAAGAAGGTTGATAACATGACCCATATTCCCAACAGACTGTACGTTACCTCCCACCTGATTGCTGTGTCCAAGTGTATCAATGGAAGATTTAGTGGAAGGAAAACCACACATCTATGATCTTAATCTTATGAGGGGTCATGTGATGCAACCCGATGACTTAGCATCGTAGTCCTGATTTGGTCCTCATTTTCTATCATGTTATTACATAAGGGCTTAATGCCGCCTGGATTTAGCACAGCTGTCTGAGATTCCTTATCTATCTAGCATAGTGTTCTTACTGTTGGCCCTGCAAACGGTAAAAGAACAGGAGCTAGCAACAGCATCTAGGAACTTCAATTTGCCCGATTCAGAAAGAACCTTAGATCAAATATTTTATTTAGTTTTTCCTCACAGACCAGACTTTTTCCTTCCATTCAATTTTAAATGAATATGCTTGACCTTTTATGCAAACAAACAAAAAAGAAACATTCAGGTTCACGATTGAGCTGAATTACTTAAATAAATACAATGTTTTTGATGATATTATAATTTATTAAGATGTACAGAAACTATTATGTCATCAGATCCAGTTGAAATATGGAGGTCTGTGTAAAGGTGAATGAGTTGGACTCCAAAATAAACAGCTCAGCACAGACTACATATAAATCTCCATCTATGAGCATTTCTATGCTTTGAAGTATTTAAACAGTTACACAAAAGTATTATCAAAGGCTGTATTTAAACTTATTTTTACAGTAGGATTTCTGTTTAGTTGTGTTTTTATGCTTCAGATTAGTCTTTTAAGTGATTTACATGCATTTTGCTGATTTTTCTTTTCTCTGGAAAACTGAGATTACAATTTTAGTCCAGTCAACACTGTAAACACAAGGGTTTGTGATGGTGAAAACATTCCGAATTTCATACTGTAGCTTTGCTGATTTCATATTAAACAGACTATCTACTGTAGCACTGTAGAGCAGTTAAAACTGGTGAAAATTAGAGTATTTCAGGACTTGACACTTTCTCCTCATTATCTGGAATAATTGCATTTTCTTTTCTTTTTTGAGCATTATGAAAAATAAGAGAAAAAAAAAGAGCTGCACAAAATTGTTAATAACCTTTTTGCAAAAAAATATGAAAAATGTTGGAGTATTTTTGATGTTCTTTCTCTGAAGAATTTCATCTCATTTCTTCTGGTTTTCAAACATTGAAAGACTTTGACTGGAAATAAACCACATTTTGTTAATAAAGTGTTTGACCAGCAGGATATTACTCTTTTGAAATAATCTTTTGCATCTGTTTGTGTGACGTGTATGACACCATTCTCTTCTTTACACGCATTCTACATAAATATCAAAATTTGTCAAAAGGAAAAAAAAATTGGTCTCCATCTCCACATCTCACTATAGTAACAGGAAACAAGTCACTATGAAATACTAAACTCACGCAGGGTGAAGGCAGAATTCCTGCTTTTATATTCTGTGAATCTTGTGACTTGATTCACCAGCAGTATTTCCTGTGTTGGAGATCCACTTTGAAGTTGTTTAAGTGATTATGCTCAGCACCAGCCCTCATTAGCACTGCTTAGGAAACGGTCACAAGAAACGTCCCTTTTTTAACGCCATCAAAGATGATGTGCTGTCGCACACAGCTCATCTTTACAGCTCAGTGTTATGTGTACGCCAGGGGTCGGGTGGACACCTCTGCAATGGATAATCTGCAGGAAATAAACCTAATTTTCATGTTTATGATGAGCTCAACGTGCTAATGTGTTATAAGTAAATTGGAAGAATTAATTTGACAGATGACATATAGTTTTATTGTAAATGTTTTCTTTTAGACACACCTCTAAAGTTATATTACAAGTACTTCATATCAGGAAAGATGTTCAATGTTTATATTTTTAGCTGTCGTCATACAAACTGCAGAAAGTCGGAGTGTGAACTGAGAACGGTAATGTTTAAAAGCTCAGTTCTTACATTTTTTTTTAAGTTGTAGGATAGGTTTGAGTTTTGGCTGTGTTTAAAAAAGAAATTTAAAAAAAAATATATATATTTTTAATGCAAGAAGTTAATTTTAAATCAATCATGCTTTTACTTCACAACTAATAGTAGGAGTTTGTTTATTCCTGCAAAATAGTTATTTGTTGTATTCGTATCGTACCTGTATGTCAACTATACCAAACTAAATCATACTTGAGGAACATATGTTTTCGTTTTTTTTGGCTCATAGTTCAGACAATTATGGTTTAGCCAAATTGTTTCAACCTACAACAGCACCTTAGCATGTTTCCAAGGTAGAGGTTAAGTGCAGCAAATACCGTAATACTGTAAAAAACGAATCAAGGGGTGCTCTTTTTTGCAAACATTGAGCGATTAAACTCCCACTGCTATCTTCATTTAAAATAGGGTAATTTGTGCTTAAACAGAAAATGCAAAAAAATACAAAGCCTATTGTTTTTTGTTTGTTTTTTTTTTATCAGGATTCCAAATCATGCAAGGTGTTTAAAACTTTTATTTTCTAATTTATTCATCAAACTGTTATTTTGTTTGATCTTTTGTTTGACAATACTAAAAGCTGATTGAATCTTACAGTAGCTCATGGACCACATCAAAATAGTTGTAAAATAAAATTTTGACTAATAGCCTTTTTTAATTAGCAGATATAGACAAATTACAATTTGTAATATTCTTTAAACTATTAAAATTCTTTTCAGATGTTTCAATATTTGTATTTTAATTGATGATTGTTATGAAGTAGTGCAATCATTTATTTTATTTATTTTTTGCCCTTTAAAGCTGCATGGTGTAATTTTTAGCGACATCTAATGGTCAGACTGCAGCATCAAGAACTGTCCCCCCTCATAGGGCCTCTTCCCTCCAAAAATGCAGCAGCCATCATCATAAAACTGCCTTCTGAAACCTTTGCTTTACCGAAATTGTCAAGTGATGACAGGTTGTACTTGCATTAGATCATAGAATCAAAACCATAAATTCTTCAATAAAAGTAAAATGATAAGTTACAAATTAGGAGATCAGAAAGTGTCAACTGTTTTAGTGAAGGAGAGCCAACGAGACAAGTTTTTTAAGTCAAAATGGAAGACAGAAAACAATACTGACAGAGGATAAAGCTGGGAATTTTCAAAAGAGGTTTGTTAGTGGCTTTTAAGAAAGCTGTTTTAATTTTGGCCTAGAAGGGCTGTTTCAATTCAATTCAATTCAGTTTATTTATATAGCGCCAAATTCACAACACACGTCATCTCAAGGCACTTTACAGTTCAACCAGATCATACAGTCAAATTGATACAAAGTTTTCTATCTAAGGAAAACCAGTTGATTGCATTGACTCATTGACTCAAATACAATCCCTCACACTAAGCATGCTTGTAGCGACAGTGGAGAGGAAAAACTCCCTTTTAACAGGAAGAAACCTCCAGCAGAACCAGGCTCAGTGTGAGCGGCCATCTGCTGAGGCCGACTGGGGTTCAAGGAGACAGAAGCAGAGATACAAAAAGCAGCTGTAAAAGGCGGCCCCGTCCAGGAAACACACAGCAAGGCAGACGAGCTCCAAGGCAGCTCCCATGCCAGAGGATGAAGAGAGCACATCCACTCAGTCACGGTCAGAGAAACAGGACTACACTGGAAAACAGGCCGATCTCCAACATCTATAAACAAGGGTGTTGATGGAAGCAGCACAGCTGATGTTTCTTTCCAGGATGGAGTCACAGCCAAACAGGAACAGACGAGGCAAAGCTACTCTGAGGAAAAGCAGAGAGAGCAGAAGGTTAGAGATTGAACTAACAGATTCTGCAGTTAGGAGAACAGAGAGAGAATGAAGCAGAATGATGAAATGGGGGTCCCTATGTTCTCCAGCAGTCTAAGCCTATAGCAGCATAACTATAGAGATAGCTCAGGATAACCTGAGCCCCTCTAACTATAAGCTTTATCAAAAAGGAATGTTTTAAGTCTAGCCTTAAAAGTAGACAGGGTGTCTGCCTCACGGACTAAAACGTAGTTGGTTCCACAGGAGAGGAGCCTGATAACTAAAAGATCTGCCTCCCATTCTACTTTTAGAAATTCTAGGAACCACTAGTAAACCTGCAGATTGAGAGCGAAGTGCTCTGTTAAGAACATAAGGAACAATCAGATCTCTGATATAAGATGGAGCTTGGCCATTTAAGGCTTTATATGTGAGAAGGAGGATTTTAAATTCTATTCTTGATTTAACAGGAAGCCAATGAAGAGAAGCCAGGATAGGCGAGATATGATCTCTCTTTTTAATTTTCATTAGAACTCTGGCTGCAGCATTTTGGATCAGCTGAAGGCTTTTAACTACAGTTTGTGGACTTCCTGATAGTAAAGAATTACAATAGTCCAGCCTTGAAGTAACAAATGCATGGACTAGTTTCTCAGCATCACCCCTGGACAGGAGATTTCTAATTTTTGCAATGTTCCTCAGATTAAAGAAGGAAATTCTAGAAACCTCTTTGATATGGGATTTAAATGACAGGTCCTGATCAAAAATAACACCAAGATTTTTTACTTTATTATCTGAAATCAGTTTAATCCCATCCAAATGAAGTGACTGGCTAATCAGTTTCTTTTTCAGAGACTCTGGTCCAAAGACTATAACTTCTGTTTTGTCTGCATTCAGAAGCAGAAAGTTAAGAGTCATCCAGGTTTTTATGTCTTCAAGACATGCCTGTAATCTATGTAATGGGTTAGCTTCATCTGGATTTATAGACAGATATAGCTGGGTATCATCAGCATAACAGTGGAAATTAATCCCATGCTGTCTAATAACTCTACCAATTGGGAGCATGTATAAAGTAAAGAGAATTGGTCCTAGCACTGATCCCTGTGGTACTCCACAGGTAACCTTGGAGCGTGTTGAAGATCTATCATTAACATGAACAAACTCAATTCGATCAGATAGATAAGATTTAAACCAGTCTAGTGCTGTTCCTTTAATTCCAACAAAATATTCAAGTCTTTCTAAAAGAATATTATGGTCAACTGTATCAAATGCAGCACTAAGATCCAACAGGACGAGCACAGATACAAGTCCATTATCTGAGGCCATGAGAATATCATTAGTGACTTTCACCAGAGCTGTTTCA